ATGTATGAAAATAAAGATAAGAATTGATGCTTGAACATATGGTAGTTTCATTAACTATCTCTTTTTAAATGTAAAATGATATCAACTGTGCAGAAAAATAGAACGTTTATCGGTGAAAATTATTTAGAGGTAACAGATTTCTTCTATGAAAAAGAAAGACTCTTCCTAAGAAAACAGTCTATTTCAAAAAAACAGACCACGGGCACAGAAATACAAAATAAATGCTTTATAGGCAAATTTCTATGGTCATAATTTCACTGCAGCTCTCGACTTTATAATTCTGCCATCCTTCCATGCACATTATACCCAAAGGTACTTTACATTGTATATTCTCATGAAATTTACTTTTTTAACCTGGGTACTTTCAAGGTATCTTGATATAACTTTCTAATCATTGACGATAGTATTACTAAGACTTAAAGGTGGAGCCACTATTTTCAAGGGTAGCAAAATTTATTGGATAATCTGGTGGAATTTTGGGGGGGGGCCTGTCATAGGAGACCTTGGTTTTTTAGAGAAAAGCAGGAGTAGTATACATTTTTGTGAGGTTAATAAGAATTTGGCACTGCGCTAGCTGTTCAGATGAAAAAAGTATGTGACTAAGCATTCCTTTTTCAGTGTGTGACCCTTGACTAAACTTGTTTTTCATAGATTGTTGTTGGGGAGACATCATTTGGCTTAATGTTTCCCTGCATATTATAAGTTGGGCTACTTTGAACACAGGATGATAGGAAAATAGGGCTGGTCCCACAAGGTCATTTAATCCAGCCCCCTGCTCAAGGTAGGATCATTTCCCTGACTAAACCATTCCAATCACGTGTTGTCTAACCCAGGGTGCTCAGTGTCTGACCCTTGGGCCAAATGTGGCCTGCACGGCCTTGGAATCCAGCCTGTAGGGTTCCCCATAGCTTAGGAAATTTGGCAGCAAGGGGAGCAGTGGCAGTTAATACAGTCACTCCTTCCTACTGCCAAAATCCCCAGCCCCAAGCAGCTGGTCAGACCTAGGCCATGACTCTCCCCCTGCATGGCCATATTGGAGCCAGGCAACATCCTCTTCCGCCTGCATGGCAGGGTTGGGGCCAGGCTGCACCCATTCTCCATACAGAGCCAGGCCATGTTTCCTTCGCCTGTGCTGCTGGTTTGGGGCCAGGCCACATTCCCTTCCCACGCCTGCACCCTGCGCTTAGGTTGTGGCCAGGTCATGCTGCCTTCTCCCACAGGGCAGGGGCACACTTCCTTCCCCTGCAGTGCTGGCTCAGAGCTCGGTCATGGTCCCTGCCCCCTGTGGGATCTAGTTGAGGCCTAACCAAGCCCCCTTCCACCAAATGGCTGGATTGGAGCCAGGCTGTCCATCTGGCACGCTGGCATGGCTGGATGGGGTCCCTCTGGATATGACCTATGGAGGAATTGGACACTGCCCATCTGGCATGCTAGCCATAAAGGTTAAGCACTAACCTGTTCTTGAAAACTTCCAAGGATGGAAATTCCACAATTTCTCTAGGTAGCTGAGTCCACTGCTTCACCACCCTCATAGTCAGAAAGTTCTTCCTACTCTCCAACTTTCCTCTGAACATAGTTTCATAGTTTCATGGTTTCTAGGGTTGGAAGGGACCTGAGAAGATCATCTAGTCTGACATAAGAACATAAGAACTGCCATTTACTAGGTCAGACCATAGGTCCATCTTTCACATCATCCTATGCCACACGGACAACTGGTGCCTCCTGAGTCCGTGGAGTCACCATATTGCTGGTGGGGAGGGGGTGTGTCCCCCAGTGGCTGATCACTGACCAGGGGGTGGGGTCCCCCAGCGGTCAGGGTTTCCCCAGCAGCCAATCGCTGAGCCACTTCCAGTTTCATGGCTGGAGCTTCCAGGGGGTGCACAGCCGATCTCAGGGTGCACCCCCTATGCGTTGCCAAAGCTGTGCCACATGGTGGCAGAGAATTAATGCTGAAAGGGAGAGTGAACTAGGTTTTTTTTTTCTACTGTTCCTCTCTCACTTGCAACCTCCAGCATTAAAGTTCTAAGACAGGGGTTTTCAACCTTTTTGGATCAGTGTACCCCTGTGTCCATCCAGGCAAGCGGTGCCTGCACAGCAGTGTGGGATGGTGTGTGGTGGCACTCCATCCCCACCCACCCGTGCATACCCCCTAGGACCTTCTCAAGTACCCCCGGGGGTACACATACTTCCTGGTCTAGGAAGTTCTAATTCAGAGGCCGTATCCCTAACTCTCATGCTCAATACTGAATGATACCCCATTTCCTCCAAGAATGTATCTAAAATATGCTGCAGCTTGAGGACGTTGCTCCTAGTCCTGTCCCCTACACCCATGGCAAAAAGGTTATTTCCATCTTCTTTATAATTGCTCTTCAGGTATTTGAAGACTGTTATTAAATTCCTTCTCAGAGTTCTCTTCTCCAGTATAAATAATCTTAGTTCGTTCAAACTTTCCTCATAAGTCATGCTTCCCCTCTAATCATTTTTGTTGCTCTCTGTTAGACTCTTTCCAATCTGTCCACATCTTTCTTGAAGTGTGGGGTCCAAAATGGGACACACTGTTGCAGGGGAGGCCACACCCATGCCAAATAGACTAAAAGCAGCACTTCCTTTGATTTGAAATTCAGGAGTGTCAGTATGGTTTCGGCCTTTTTTTTGCCACAAAAGCACACTGTTGGCTCATATGCAGTTTATGGTCCAGTATAACTCCAAGGTCCTTCTTCACAGTACCACAACCTAGCCAATCATTCCCCAGTCTGTATATTTTTCATGCAATTATTACATCCCAAGTGCAGGACTTTGCACTTGTCCTTGTTGAATTTCATCTGATTGATTTCAGACCATTTCTCCAGTCTTTCTGTATCATTCTGGACCCTGCCTCTCAGAATGTCTGCAACTCCACCTTGGTGTCATCCACAAGTTGGCTAAGTGTGTCCTCAACCCCGTCATCCAAGTAGTTAATTAAGATATTAAATGATACTGGACCCAGAACAGACCCCTGAGGATCCCCATTTGATACCTCCTCCCAATTAGACTTTGAGCCATTGATGACTACTCATTGAGCACAAATTAAAAATCCACCTTATGGTACTGTCATTTACTCTGTATTTCCTTAGGCTGTTAATGAGACTGTCATAGGAGATGGAGTTAAAAGGCTTGCTTTTGAGTCAGGGTATATTTGGCCCAGAGAGTCCAAATTTGGCATGGATATAAGTACAGATGTTTGAAAGTGAGTCTTGTTAATATAGCAGAGAAAGTATAATTTAATATTAATGATGTATGACAACCATATCTAACTAGGCTACAATAAAGAATATGCCACTGAAATAATTGGACAAGACACATAATTAATTAGGTATAAATTAGGCAATATTTCTTTGGAATTTTTCCAAGGAATGAAAAGATTCTGGCATCTAAAGGTATACAAGCCTTGGAAATGGGCTAGATATTTCTTTCTCCCTCTGGGATAAAACAAACTAGAGAATGATAAAAGGTCACAAAATGCAGGTGTGTTTTATCTGAGTGCCTAAATATGTTGTTCCTCTCAGAACTTGCTGTAATAAAGGAAAAAGAGCAATGCAATGAAAAGATATTTGCAGCATTGACAATTCATGTGGCTTGGGGGAAAAGTCAGTTCAAGTTACCCAGAAGCATGGGAGGGATAAAGAAGAGACAGAATGGCAAATGGGATGGGGAGGTTCCTCCAGAGGCTGTGTTGTTAGTTTGATTGGTGACAGCCAGGATATATTTCAATCAGTTCCCTTTATTCATATAGGATTGGGCTTGAAATTGAAGATCACACATAATGAACTGTCAGGAAAAAAATTACTCTAAAAATGGGGAAAAAATGTTTTTCTGCAATTATTTTCAACAGATTAAAGTAGTGTGTTTTGTCGTTGCAGTAATGTAGACACCATGCTACAGAAATTTCAGTATGAACAGTAAGCATACTTAATAACTGAATAGGAGATGAACCTCTAATTGACATGCCTATTACCAGTTTTCTGTTCAAGTGAAAGACAAGGAGAGATAGGACACTGAAGGGCAGAAAGATTTTTATTAAACGAATATTTCACTGAAAATACTGTCAGTACATGCTACAGTGATGGGTATGTTATAAATAAGATATAGAAGGAATAGCTCTACTTTATTTCTAGAGTAAACACTATAAAGATCCTAGAGGAATGGTGCCTAGTGCTGCTGTTCTAGAAAAAAATAGCTTTCAGAATCAATCCTGTTTTATATCATTATTTCACACTACTGTTTGAATTTACCATCCTGAGTGATAAGAAAAGCACTGGTTATGGCCTCCATTAAACATGTATCTTTTCCACATTGATAAGCTCCATGCTTCCAAATAAAATCCTTAGAAGGAGATCCAGATTTGTAAAGGTATATTTTATTATACTGTAGTTGGGAAAGAATTTAATATTGACAAATTGATTGAGTCATGGTAGCCCCCTTTTTTAATGATCTGCAAGCATACTTAAACTCTTACGAACATATCTGCTAACATGTGGTGTTTACGAACCATTTGCCTTGACTACATCTCTGACAAATTGTTATTAACAGGATATGGTTGTTCACCTAAGACACGTGATGTTATTTCTTCTCCATAAACAGATGTGTAAAACTTGCGGAGTAATTAGTGCAAGAAAAATCTTAGTCCCCCCCGTGGGTAATGGTGTTTACACTAAGTACTCCCCAGGACCGATGCATACGGAAAGCCCTTCACACTGACATTCATGAAAAAACAAACGAAGAAGCTGTATTGAACAGCATGTCAGAATCCTTGTTGTTAATTCCTCTCCTCTTTTACCAGTATGCGAAATACCAAAATGTTGGTAGCTGTTTAATGAGTTGCTGTACAGTAAACATTGTGTAGCCTAACACAGAATAGAGCTGAACACAGTCACAATCAAGCTTAAAATATTCATTTTCTTTTGAGCTCACACAGTTTGAGTTGCATATAATTCAGTAATTCCTCTTATTTTGTTTTCTAGAATGACAAATCTCCAGGGCGCTCTGCAAGTCGATCAAGTAACATCTCAAAGGTAGGCGGAATATATTAACTTGTTTACTTTCATATAGAATTCCAAGCGACTAAAGTCCCATTTTACTCCACTGTCCACATAACCATATTCTGGCACGTTCTTTGTATATACCAGTTCTTAACATTAGGCTGCCTAATGCACTAATTGCAACATAAAGGTCATTTAAAAATACATGATTAATCTCTTTTTATCCATTGAATATCCATTAAGAAACTCCTTTCTCAACCCATTTCACTTGGGGGCCATGGAAGGGGCTGTCTATTTCAGATACGAATCTATGGACCCTACGTTGTTCCTGTAAATTTCATTCAGATATGGCTGAAACCCAAGTTAAAAATTGAAATTTCATGAGAATAGATCAAAAGGTTTTGGTGCCAGAGGACATGGATGGATGTCTTATTTCTACCAATATAATCAGCATTACACTGGCACAAAATAATGCAAACTCTTAAATAGTAACTTCCCTGAGTTACTGGACTAACTTCGTTGGAATAACTTCACTAAGTCCAGTAGAGAATTATACTTGAAAGAATCAGAAATAAAATGCTGTTGGTATAAGTTAGATCTGCATTAGGTCAGATTTTGTCTGTGCACGTCTAACCTGAAGTATCTCTAAAGGCAAACAGGCTATTATCTCTATACCCACCAACCAGCAACAGAATAGTGTAATTGCTGCCTTGGGTGTTCCTTTCTTTTTATGTGCCCTTGTGTCAAGGAATTTAGCAGAATTCACAGATTTGGGGGTTTTTTGCAACCTGACAGGCCACCCTGTGAGATCTTCTGCTATGGCCTCAAACTTGTGATCTCTAGGCTCTCAATTGTATGCCTTGGTGCCCGTGCCATGCCACACCAGCCCCCTGCCTTAGGTGTGAGCTCTCACAAGATAGCTACACTTCTGTCCATTCCTGATTCAGGTGCAATTTATGTAAGTATATAAATGATATAAATAACACCTGGACTTGAGAATATTTCTCCATGCTTGTAAAATCCAAATCAAAATACCAGCCACTATTTAAGCTCAAACCTGCTCCTCAAGGTTTGAACTTGGGTCCAGTTCTGAACATCATGGCCTCAGTCCTTATCTAATGAAGATTTACTGTGGCCTGACCCTGCCAAAACTATTTTACCCTCAGAGATGCATTTGATTTAAAGAAAAAAAAGAGATCACAGTCGTAATTTTTAAATTACAGTTCAAGGAACTACCAGTTAAAATACTCGTCTCTGCTATTTCATAACAACAAAAGAAAAGGCTTTGAGTAGTCCATGGTACTGCTATTAAGTAGTCTTCTGTGTATAATTCACTTTAATGAGCATTCAATTACAGTTTTAGAAGAAAGAATACAGCAAGGAGTGTGTTGCATTCCATGGCATAAATATTCTTATCTGTTTTTACCCAGTAGGAGCAGAATGGGGTGAACATCATATTATATCAGAGTTAGTACAATAATGGCATCCAAAAGAATTTTCACCTGCCTGTGCTTCCTATGTGAAGGACCTATTAAATATTAGAGTTGACCTTGATCTCATTTACTATAATGCATTTCTGAAGGAGCTCAAGTCACTTTATTGGATTTCCTCTTGATTTACACTGATGAAATGAGATCAAAAGCTGACTGTATCTGAAAGCAGTAATCATCCAATGTGCAGTTATAGGTATCAGTTTTAAAAGAGAGTGTGATGATGTTATATACCACTTTTCATCTTATTCCATGGCACCTTTCTTACTATGGTTTTAACTGTCATATGACCGGGGAAAATCATAAACCAAAACTGATGATATAATCACTTCAAGTCATGAGAGACCAGTCAGTAAAATCCAGAAAATTCAAGACCGAGCCTTGCACTTCAGCCTTAACTGAGTCTGCTATGACTTTCTATTTCATGTAGTGGTAAGAAATAAGGACAACAGTTGCAATTATGGTGGGGCAAGGGAGTTGTGAAGCTTAACCAGTGCCTCTAAAATGCTTTGAGATGCTCAGGTGAAAGGTACTAAAGGTACTAAAACATTTGTAACAATAAGAGTAAGGGCAGGTACCTCACATGATAGAAAATGGGACTATATTCATTCCCACTGAGGGGCAGATCCAGAGTCAGTGCAGTGGCATAGTTGCACTTGCACTCCTTTGGGCCAGGGGCCTTTTTTAAATCCCCAAAGCAAGTAAGAATTCCCCTTCTCCCGTCCCTTCCATACTCAGTGGCACCTCCATTACCTTTTCATTCCCCCACTCTCTTCCACTCTTGCCTGCTGTTGCAGCTACCCCAGCTGAGCCTAGGTGGAGCGGGGCAGAAGCAGCTCTGGGGTTTACTGAGGTGCTGCGGAGCACAGAGGGTGAGGGGATGCCAAAGGTGGGGGGCAGGATTCTTACTTGATAAGGGCACTTGCAAAAAGTCCCCAGCTGCAGCTCCTGTGTTGTGGTCTGACTCTCCTGGTGAGGGGGAAGGAGGATTACAACAGGGATACCATCACTCCTGTAGTCTCAGTTGCTGTTCCTGCCCTCCCCGCCTTTACAAAGTCTTCGATCCACTCATGTTCCCACTCATCCCTCACTTCTCACAGCATACAACACGATGTGTGTCAGTCTGTGCTTTGTTTTTAGTTTTGATCAAAATCTCAGTGTTATTTAACCAGTGGTATACATGTGAATTTTAATTGCATCATTATAGCTGGACCCAAACTGGTTCCCCACTTACAAAGCCTCCTGAATATTGGGGAAATACAGATTCACGCTTCATTGTAATTTATCTCTATAACATGCTGGAACAAAATGCAAAGTTTTAATATCTCCAGGCCTGGGAGCATCCAGGGATTGTGGCTCAGTCCATCTCTAATTGTGATCCCTGTTAGTTAAAAGGACTGTAAACCTATATAAATTCACTGCACTTATTTTCTGTTATTCTAACAATGTCAATGAGCAACAGTTACTTTTAAATTGTCACAAAGCCCCCCACAAGCATCAGAGGGTCAAATGCAATCAATGAGGGATTGTCGAAATATATTTAATGTGCTTTAAAGCATCACATCCCAGCTTCTAACATTTCTCTCAATGTGACCTCTGTGGAGAAGAGTTGTAGATGCTCTTTAGAAATTGTGCACACAGCTTACAAATGGGCTGTTGCAGTGAAAAATTATCAAGACATGCCCTTTCTTATTCTGTCACCAGCTTATATGTGGAATTATATTATTCCATTTGACCACTTACCTTATGCATTTCACTAAACAGGACTTTTATATGTTGGAATGTACTTGACAGGGTACCCAATGTTTCAAGTGAATTCTCTATTGTCAAGAATTTGCCTATTTTTAATCCAAAAAAAAGCTTAATTTATAAATACATTGCTTACATTACACAAAATCCACAACAAGAATTTCCATACTGAACTATTTTAATCAAACCAGACCTCAGAAGTTGTAGTGATCTTTTAATACATACTTTTAATACATAATATGTGTTTGTGACAATTGTTGATTATACAGATTATAGATATATTTAAAGAAAAAACAGAGACAGCAATTAATAAGTAGCTAACAGTAGTTACTGGGAGGAAATGCATGTAACTATCAGCATTAGTGCCAAGTTTTGTACATGTCCATACATACTATTTATAGAAATTGAAACAGCATAAAATGCATCTTAAAATTTATGTAAATTTATAGGGTGGACACACAGCATCAGCTGCATCTGGGTAAGTGTGCTGGAGGGGAAATAGCAGTTGTCCAAAATATTTTGGTCATCTACCTGCTTTCTTTCCCTCTTGATTTTTTTTCTAAAATTTGCAAAGAATTAGTAGCACCCTGGACATAGCCAGTTATTTTGTTGAAAACTTCTAGAGTAATTTTGCATTATCCAGTGTACCCAGGGACAGCAACAAATTAACACCACCATTAAAGTCAGTTCATTTTTAGTATCTCCATTTTTTAGCACACCTACATTTCAAACTCTCCCTCATTATTTGGTGTCCTTTCTGATGGAAAGGATCACCATTTAAAAATATTGCTTCTATTACTCCAAATGCTTAACTAAGCAAAATATGGCCGAGATTCTGATTTTTGCAAAAGATCTGTTGAAAATCAGGTAGAGGATAATCCAAACATGACACTAATGTTCTTAATCTGCAGTGATCTCTCACAGTTCCTATCTCTGTCTCTATAGTATTGCTGCCTGGCAGTCAGCCATGGTTGGTTCTGTATGAAAATCCATCTAAGTTAGCTCACTTGCTTCAAACTATAAATCATTAAAGTTGCTGTGGGATGCTAAGAATAATGACTCCTGTGTCTTGACAATCTCTCCAACCACGGCCAATTAGTAAAATGGCTCAGTATTTGGTTTTGTAGCATATGTGAAGGAGATTTAGGAAAACTCTAGATTTTTCTATATACTGTCAGAATTACTAAATATTTACTGCTACCAGCAACCTGCATGAATAAAAAGCTTAAGTTAAACATGCTTTTTTGTCCCCTGTCATCTGGTATAGGAGGGAAGGGAACTCCTTGTAAATCACCTATGCAACGTGACTCAACTCATCCTGCCTCACTGAAATTTGTTTCAGTGCACTACTTGTGTATGTCTGAAGAAATGTATCTCATTTTGACTTCAGACATTTGATGTTTGAATATGGAAGATTTCATGAAGTTATTCAGAGGAAGCACAAACTGAAGCTACCTGACTCCCCTTTCAAGTAATGCCCAGGTTCAGGCAAAGGATTACACATCATCTAATGGATATACTTACTGGACAATTGCCCATTTTAATTTTGAGCACATCTGTTAGTGTTGCAGGGATTGAAATCTAAATTCAGCTAGATAACAGGTTAAGGTCATGAATAGAAGTTTGCAAAATATTTCAGGGGAAGAGGATAGAAAATACTCTTAACTGTGGCTTTATTCATCATGTTTTGAATGCGAAACTTTGCCTAATTACAAGAAGTATTTGCCCAATTATGTGCTTTTTTTCACTGTAATATGTCACTATTATAAATGAAAATAGACTCTTTTTCAGAAT